TCACTCTGTCGATCCACCTGGTTGAGGGTCTTCCACTTGTTCGTCATCCCTCCAACTTCCCAACCATGACATCCCTCTCCAAGGAATAACTTCTCCTGGCAACATGCCCAAAGTCTGTGAGACGAAGCTTCCTCATCTTTGTCTCCAAGAAACTCTCTTAATTCAGTAATTGGGAAATGTGAGAATGAGTTTATGGAATATTTTTAAGCATGCTTTCCAAAGAACCAAATACAGTAGCAAAGACGACACTCAGACCGGCTTCCCTCAACTGTATCACCCAAGTGAACCTTGCACTATGAGCTAATCTTCAAAGCATTTCCAGCATTTCCACTTCCATTTGTCTTATAAATAAAGAGCACACTTAGTTGGGCTTCCACCAATTGTAACATTCATGCGTCTTTGATACACAAACCTTTGGATCTGAACTAATTCCCCATATTTGCAGTGTAACAAAAATGACTGCTATTCTGCTTTCAAGGGTCAATCTTTGCTCACTGCTACCTCTGAATCGAAATAAAAAATCCAGTTGCCTGAAAAGAAAAATAATAAAGGGTAAAATCACTGATAATAATCATAAAAAACGTAACACGATAAGCTTATTTTTGTATGCCTGCTTATCACATTAGACTATGTACTCTTTAAAAACCATGGATATTTTTTGTTTTAATAAAAATTAAAGCAGCTACTATGCATTCAGAAAGTCTACCATTAGAGACCTCTACAAAGTACTGAAGAAAAACGATGCCAGTCTGGAGACCAAAGTGCTCCTGATACAGGCTATGGTCTTTGGAATCACAGGCTCTGCATCAGAGAGCTGGACAATAAAAAGGGATGATAGAAGGAGAATTGATGCCTTTGAGCTGTGGTGTTGGAGAAGATTATTAAGTATATCATGGATTACTAAGAGGTAAAACCAGGCTGCTCCTTGGAGGCAAGGATTCTGAAGCTCTGTCTCACATACTTTGGACATACTGCAAGGTAGGTTCAGTTCTTGGAGAAGGACATCATGCTTGGGAGGGTGGAAGGACAAACACAGGAGAGGAAGACCCTTAATGAGATGGATTGATTCAGTCACTGGGGTAATGGGGGCAGATGTATCAGAGATAATAAAATTGACACAGGATAGAGTAGGGTTTAGGGCTGTTGTACATAGGGTTGCTATGAGTCACAGGCAACTTGATGGCACAGAACAACAACAACAACTATAAATAGTGGAGCTACTACTTACAAAGCCTTACTGGGGACCAGTCTCTATTCTAAGTAATTTGATGTGAATTACCTTTTCTCAGTCTCTTAACTACCCTAGAAAATAGATACTATCTGTCATTGATTTGGTTGTTTGTTTGTTGAGACACAGACATTAGACATTTTGTTCATGGTCACACAATTCACAGGGAATGGAGATACAATTTGTGGGTTAGACAGTTGGAGTCCAGAATCCTTATTGTAGGAAATTATTTATTGTGTTGCCACCATACACAAAATCATGACCTGGCCATTAAAAAGGTAACGCCCAGACAAATCAAACTGAAGAACAATCTACAAAATAAATGTTGTTGTTGCTGTTGTTAAGTGCCGTTGAGTCATGGGCAACTCACGGTGACCCCATGAACAAAAGACCTGAACACCTGTATAACTTTCCTCGTTTCTCCAGGTTCATAGGGTTTCCAGAGGCAAACTATTTCAGAAGTGGATGCCACTCCTGCTTCCAAAATTGTTTTAATCGAGGAGCTTCACCAAACTCTGTCCACCATGGGTACCCATTATCGCATTTGACACATTAGTGTTACAAAATAAATAGTGCTCCCCAAAACTATCTAAACCATTAAAAACAAAAAACCCCAACATGTCCAAGAACAGTTACAGCCAGGGTAAACTAAAACATGATCAAGTGAGATGTGGTATTTTTGATGGGATCTTGTGGTTAAAACAAGGAAATTCAATAAAAACTAAGGAAATACAATTAAATGCAGATTTTGGTTAATAATAATGCATCGACATGGATTTGTTGTTGTTACGTGGCACTGAGCTGAATTATGACTCACAATGACCCAAGTGCCAAGTAGAACAACTCAGCGGGGTTTCCTAGTTACCAAGTCTTTTCTTCTGCAGAGTCTCTGGCAGGTTAGAACTACCAGTCTTTTTCTGACACTGATAGAAGACGTTAGCTGAGGGAGGCGTAGTGGTGCTGGCAGCCTGTAGAGTGGTGCGGCCGGCCTGTAGAGTGGTGCGGCCGGCCTGTAGAGTGGTGCGGCCGGCCTGTACAGTAGCGTATTCCAAGGCCACACTTATCCTAATAGTTCAAAACTACCAAGGGCTCCAAAGGGGAAAGATGAGCAGTCTCCTATCATTCCAGTTTAGAGCCTCAGAAATCCAATGAGAGGTCCTTATGAGGCCAAACCAGCGCCACAGTCGTGAGTTTGAAAACACTAACCACAGAGAAGACTGGCTCTGGGTATATACCAAAATCCTCGGTAATATTTTCCTACCTTTTCTGAATTCTAAAATTATTCTAAAATTTAAAAAAAAATATGTAAAATAAGTCATGGTTAAGAGTCTGTCTCAAAGCAGTGCTTAACATAATTAACATTCATAAAAGCCACATGGGGATTTTGTTGAAATGCAGATTCAAACTGAGACTCTTAAGTGGTGTGTGAGTTTATACTCCTAATATATTCCCTGGTGTCCCTTCTACTGCCAGTCCATCAAACACAGATCCAAACTGTAAAGTCTGGAATATGTAATAGTGGTTTCAGATGTATTTAGTTACATATGTGGAAGGGGGTTATTTCCAAGCAGCACTATTTATAGAAATCGCAGTCTCTCAGATACCACTTTTGCCAAAATACCTTGAAAGTATGGATTATTCTTAGATACTATTCTAAATAGTTTTCATTTCAACAAAAATAATGTCAGAATTAAGATAAAGGGAGCATTGGTCTCTAATTTACTCCCCTTCTTATTCAAAGAACATGCATGTATATTTGCAACCATGTGTGTATGTGTATTTTAAACCAATCCAGAATTTCTGGAGGTATCTACAGTTAAGATGCATTTACAGACAAAATCAGCATCTTTTAAAAATAGCACTATATTCACTGCAAACATTATCATTATAATAAAGACACTTATTTTTTGGTTGGGGTTTTGTTTGTTTGTTTTTTTAAGGTGAAAGGAAAGACAATTTTATTAAAAGATACATCCCAGAGAGTGAGATGAGTCATTGAGTCATTTCTACAAAAGCAAAGAGGTGAAGAAAGATCAAGATACTTCTTGACAATAGAAATCAGTGATTAAAACATTTGGAAAATAGTGAGCAGACATGTATGTATCTAGAGGTTTAGCTACAGTGATGCTCATTAAAGCATTGTTTATTAAGAGCAAGAGATTGCTAATAACCTACACTTGCGTAACTTCTGTAACTATGCGTTAGTTACAAAAATTGTGGGGCATTCTTGCAATGGACTATAAATACTGTAAATGAAACTCAGCACTCACCATTTTCTTCATGGCAGTAATCAAAGCCGGCCACACTGCACCTTCGAAAGACCATCTTATTCTCTGTGAGTGTTCCCGTCTTATCAGAAAAGAGGTATTGAATCTGACCAAGGTCCTCTGTGATGTTCAGGGCTCGGCACTGAATAGTGGAATCCATTTTCTCATTGTAGAAATCTACATCACTTTGAATAAAATATATTTGGCCAAGTTTGACAATTTCAATAGAAACATAGAGAGAGATGGGAATCAGGACCTAAGAAGAAGAACCAAACAATGAAAGGAAAATTAAGAGGGATTAAAAAAATAAGATGGCAAATTTAATCTAGGTTGGTAAACGGTTAACAATATATGATAAGCTCAATAAATATTACCTGTAACAAAATGATCATTGTCCAAAACATATAGAATCCTGCCAAGAGCGGTGAGATGACATGCCCGTCAGATTCAGGGATATTAAAGAAGGGTACATCCTCATATCTGCTCAACCAGATTCCATGCCCTTTCAAAAAAATGGACAGGGATCAAAATAAGGCTACATATACATTATGTAAATAGTAAAAGAGATTCACTTTAGTCTTGCTTGAACCATTATGTAAATAGGAAACCTTACACATAAAAGAGATTCACTTTAGTCTTGCTTGAACCAATTGTTTGCTTTGAGGAACAAATTAAAATTCCAAAAGTAACAGCTGTCTTGCCACTGATGATCTTTCTATAAATCTCTTTGCAGGTCTGTTTGGTATTATCACAACATATAATTGAAAACAGTCACCAGTAATGTTTTTCAGGCCAAAAGATAAGAGAGATAAACATGTAAGAGGAAAGTATTGGTAAATAAAAGCTCTCTAGGATGCCTTAGTGATAAGGAGTTGAACTTCCAAGCCAAAGGCACGTGGTTTAAATCCCCCAACAGCTCCATAGGAGAAAGAGACAATCTCTCCCAGTGAGATTTACTTCCTTGGAAAACCCACTGGAAGGTTATGCATGAGTCAGTTCTGGCTCAAATGCACACAGCAACAACATGGAAATCAATCATTTATAAAAGTTATTTTAACAATAAATGGCTTGAGGGAAATTGAAATTGAAAGAATTTGTTCAAATTTGTATTTGAATTTTGTAAACTAGTAGGGGGGAAAGGAAATAAATGGGTTTTTTTGTTTGCTTACAGAATTTGTATACATTGTGTCTCATTCTTTTCTTCATTCACTTTGTGTTTCATACAATCATTCTCATGCATTATGTTTTATAAAATTAATCATCATTGGACCTTGGCCATCATTGCCCTTTGTCCAGATCCTTCCCATTTCCTACTCTCCCCCGCCCCCAAATTGTGTAATCCACCCATCCTCAGCCCTCCCTCTCCTCGGATTCCCATATATGTTTCACACTAGTTATCTTTCTTTCTTTTTTTTTTTTACAATTATGCTCTTATACAGTAAACTACTTTTAAATTAATATCCTATTGAAAAAATGTTGGCAAATAATCAGTGTACCTACCCAAAGCACCAGTGAGACACATTATAATCAGAAGTAACACACACCAGAGGACATCCGTATTTGCTCTTCTCTCTAATTTACTGCGCTTATACCGTGGCCCGCTATTGTTCAGCATTGCTTTGGTCTCATGACCTAAGTAGGAAATGCAAAATGTCAGAGGAAGTATACATTTAAGCCAGCCAGCAAATGCCATATGGAAAAGTCTCTCCAGCAGGCAAATTAGTAAAGCATAGTTACAAAATTTATTTTCTCAGTTTATTCTGCTTTTGAGATTGATTTAGAAAACAGAGGCCAATGATTACACTTATCCAGATAAAATTTCCTTTCTGCTCCTTAGACGGCATTCTGAGTACCCAGAAAATGTTAACTTGTAGGAAAGCAGAGAGGAGACAATAAAGACCGACCAGCAGTTTCACCAACCTGCATAAACCACAATGCCCACAACAGCCTCTGTGTTTCTGATGGTGCAACCTCTTAGTAACAAATTTTCTTTGCTGAGACCCACACGTCCTTTGTTGGAATGTTCCCTATAAGAAAGACAACATGAACAGGGACATAAAAATCACAGCTCCTAAGTTTCCTTGACTTGAAAAACATAAGCTGGGCAGCTCATAAGAACGATTGCAAGTTCTATGAAAAATCTGATGCTATTGTTTTCTGTTATTGCTTATTTGTCAGCATGTGGCACTGCAGAAGATTTAAAAAAACAAAACACAACACCCCAATCCTACTATCAAGATAATAATGCTGCTTTTCTAGTTTATATTGTATTTCTAGATAGTTTAATACCAATGAGTTTCATACCAAAGCTGTTTATTCAAGCCCACAGCCATGGAGTCAATTTTGACTCTTAGTAAATCCTGTAGGACAGGATAAAATTGCCCAACAAGGTTCCCAAAGTTGTAATCTTTATGTAAAGTTTCATTTTTCTCCCACAGAGTGGGTAATGGGTTCAAACTCTTGACCTCTGGTTAGCAGCTGAATTCCTGAAGTTCTTTATGTTGTTGTTGTTATTGTTGTTGTTGTTGTATTGCTGTCTGTCATTGAGTTGAAACTGACCTTTAGAGAACTGACCCTCCAATAGATTTTCAGAGGAAATGAACAGCAAGGCAAGAAACTGCCCACCCTTCTCCCAAGGAGCAGCTGATGGATTTGACTGCAGTACAGTTTCTTACCACTGTTGTTGAGTTGGAACTGACCCATAGGTGACCCTCCAATGGGTTCTCACCAATGGAGACTGTCCATCATTCTCCCACAGAAAAACTGGTGAGTTTGAACCACATGCCTGTCAGATTATAGGGCATTTTCTTAAAAATAATCATTTTCAACCCTGATGAAACAATGGAGGATGCTGTTGTGGTTGTTATTATGTGCCACTGTATCAAATATGACTCAAAGCAACCCTAAGAACAACAGATCTGAACCCTGTGCTATCCTGCGCCACCCTCACCATCTCCAACACAGGGGAGCCCATTGCTGTAGTCACTATCCCAATCCGTCTTATTAAGAGCCTTCCTCTGCTTCATTAAGCCTCTACCTTTTCAAGTATGATGTCTCTCTCCCAGGAACAACCCCTCCTAAGAGTATGCCCAAAGTATGCCAAATGAAGCTTTGCCACCACTGATCTAAAGAGCACT